GAAATGATTTTATAATTTAACTGCAGAAGCGATTAATAAAATTGGGGTCGCATCCTTTATACAATAATTTTTAATGCTCAATAGGGTTACCAGAATATCCTGCTAAAAGAAAAATGGTAATTAAGAAAATAAAAAGAAGAGCGAATAAACAAGCCTGCTAGGATAACCTTCACTAACACTTAAATGGAGTTCGAGTAATGAACTACTTACAACCCTCTTGCTGATCGGGATCTGGATCTTGATTTTCTTGATCAGAAATGATTAATGAAATAGTGAGTTACATTAACGCAGTAAGAATATCACACTAATAACATATACGAAAAACTGAAGATTAGTAAAAATCATAAAATAACTAATAGAGTCCTTAATTTAAGTAAATTCATTCAATATAAAGAAAACCGTTTATTACGTACTTACCGTAACGATTTTTCCAAAAACACCCTATGAAGACTCATATTCATATCATTTTTTATTTTCATACATAAGAGAACAAGAAACGATAATTTTTCTTTCTTACCTACTTGCTGGTACCCCTAGTGATCCATAGGGATGTCCCCCTACTCTGAACCTAATATCTAATTTAAACAATTAACTGGTCGTTCCCATACCCTGTCCGGTAATTGACGCTAAACATTCCATTGCCTCGATACCCTGTTCGGTATGAGCTTGAACTATATCTTCCAAACTTTTCCAGTAAGGAACTTTTCAGTCTCGTTTGACTAAGATAATGTTCACAGTAGGGTTTCCTCTGTACCGAGCCCGTCCGCCCTTTCCTTGGGTACCCAATAAGTCTTTCACATAAATATTCCCATTAACAAAATAACCAACTATGCACATCAATATCTCATATTACAATTACATATTAATTAAACTATATTCATGCTGACAGTATATAACTGAATAAATAAGATAAATTGATAAGGTTATAGAAAATATAATTTAAGAACATGCACCATATAATAATAAGCAAATAGGGCAGTACATAAAAATAAATGGAAAATTGAGACAATCATGGTGTAAGTGGTTCCAGCTTCACTAATAACCAGTAATTATTTTTAGGGTTCTCTAATTTTTCATAAAAATATGAAATTATACATCGTTGAGGCTCAATTTACTGTAACAGAGAATAGAGTGAGGGATCCTTATCTGGATCGATTTTTCAAGACGTCACACTGTTTATTACGTCTCCCAATGGGTACTGAATTTCCTGAATTTTTTATGTAAAAATCCAAAACACTCATCACATACCTAAAAATACCCAGAAAAATTCACCATCGGTGTCCAAAACTCTTTTCAGCCAATTTTCGGGTTCTAGCAAGGCATTGCCACCACCGTGCTTTGGCACCGGCTTTGCCGGCCACAGTAGTGGTTCGGCTCGATCTGGCCGATTTTGGCCAATTTTGGTCGATTTTGCATGTAACCCTGTAGAAAAACACGTTATGGGGTCTTGGTTGGCCAAAAAATCACAAAAATCGAACCTACCAGTGGGGGGACCTTCGGGTATGACGGCTCCATCAGTCCTCCTTCACGGTTGAGATTCTTTCTTTAGTTAACCTACACAAAAAAGAACGGTAAACACAATAACCGAACAATCGAATTAAATAAAAAGTGGGAAGGGGCTCATCAGAGGGATTTTTGGGTTTTAGTCGTGGCGACTCCGCCAGGCTTTGCCTGCGGTTTTTCAACTCACCTGTCATCCCTCTTACTCCGATTTGGCCACAAAGATGCTCAAAATCGAATTCCAAATGCGTAGGGGGAAGTTTTTTTTTTTTTTTACGGTCGTTAATGACTCTGGTGCGGTGGCGGTCGGCAGTCGGCCTCCTTCTCCTGACCTGGGTCTTATTCTCCGACAGGGGATGCCAACTAGGGTTCGAGTTTTCATGCGAGGTGAAGTATTTATACAGATCCCGCGTCGATATGAGTTGTTATTACGATTGATCTCGTCCGTTTGATTGCACCTAAGGAAAAAACGAATTCGAGCCGTTCACGAGCGGGGGATCGATCCTGGATCATCCAATCATTGGGCACGTGAATCGCCAGCGTGGCCTCCCACGTGGCACCGACGTCAACATGTCTCTATGCGACATGCTCTGGTTCGTCGGGGTTACTTACTGGGTTGTGTTGTGTGGCCATATTTTTTCTTTTTGTATTTTTATCCCTATTTCTAACTTTTCTTTCAAAAACATATTCGAACTCAAATTTTTATACTTTTTTTTCCAAAGTTATTTTTGATTACATATTTAACCTATTTTTTTTATAAAAAAAAATTAACAAAATTAAATTAAATTAATTTATAAATAATATTTTTATTTATTTTTAAATTGTCAAAAATGATCCCGAACTAATTTTTGGGCAAATTTCTAAGTCTGAGTATTACAACTCTCCCCCTTTTAAAATGAAATTTGGTCCCTCAAATTTGTCACCCTCTTACTTAGTCAAACAATTGGAGATATTAGACTTTAGAGTTCGATTGTAGCTTCCATGTGGCCTCTTTCTCTGTGTGATTCTGCCATAAGACCTTAACGAATGAAATTTCTATATTGCGAGGTACTCTGCTTTTTTGGTGTACAATGCCCACTGGTACCCCTCATAGGATAGATCCTCTTAAAGTGAAGAGGGCTCGTGGAGCAAGATATGTGAGGGGTCCGGGTTGTATTTGCATAACATGGATACGTAGAACATATTATGAACCCTAGATAGCTCTAGAGATAGTGTCAGTTTGTAGGTGACCTCATACCAATCCGATCTAATGTCTCAAATGGCCTGATGAACTGAAGATTTAATTTCTCTCTCTTACCAAACCTACTGATTCCCTTGAAATGAGTGACATTAAGAAATATTTGATCACCTTTCTCAAATTACAAATACATCATCTGAGTGTCTTCATAACTTTTTTATATACTCTGAGTTGTTTGGATGTTTTTCCTAATCTTAACTATCTTGGTTGTAGTCTCCTCCACAAGATGTAAGCCGAATAATTTTCTATCACCCAGTTCTTCTCAACAGATCAGCGATCTGCATGGGCGGCCATATAATGCCTCATACGGACCCATGCCGATACTTGCCTAGTAGCTGTTATTGTAGGCAAACTCTATCAGAGGTAGGTGATCATCCTAATGGCCATAGAAGTCTAAAACACAAGCTCGGAGTATATCCTCTAGTGTGCAAATTATTATGTCTAATTGTCCATCAGTTTTAGGATAGAATATGGTACTAAAGGAAAGTTTCATTCCCATGACTTACCGAAAACTAGACCAAAATCGAGAAGTGAACCTAAGGTCTTTATCAAATACTACTGACACTAAAACTCCATGTAATTTGACTATCTCCCAGACGTACGTTTGTGCTACCTTGTCCAAAGGGTCAGTTATCTTGATAAACAAGAAGTGAAAAGACTTGGTGAGCTGGTCGATAATTATCCAAATGACATCATATTCTGAGTGTGCCTTAGGCAACCCTATCAGCATGGCGAACCTTGAGCTATGAGCCTCTATTACGATGTCCTTATTCAGTTCACTGTTACCTAGAACACACTCCTTGTCCTGAAATATGAGCAACTCATCGATAGAGACTCAAAATTTTGAATTTACTCCTTGTTCTACATGCTTTCTGAGAGATGCTACGATGGAATCAGTGGATTGAGCTTCTTTTATTCTCTGGATCAATTCGGGTTGGACAGTCAGGTGGGCCAAGCATGTAACTCTTTTCAAGTCTTAAAGTTGTATTTGTTGTACGGCCCCTATTACCCTACATTCAAAAACCATTAGGTGAGTTAACATACCTACATTTTTCTGCTGAGTGCATCGGCTACCACATTACCCTTACCCGGACGATACAAAATATTACAATTATAGTCATTAAGAAGCTCTATTCAATGCCTCTGATGCATGTGTAGATCTTTCTGAGCGAATATGTTCTTCAAACTTTTATCATCAGTATAAATCTCAAAAGTCTCTCTATACAGGTATTGGGGCTACGTCTTCAAGGTGTGGATAATGACATCAAGTTATAAGTCGTGGGTGAGAAAATTTTTTTATGACTCTTCAGCTGCCTCGACCCATAAACTATGATCTTGCCGTACTGCATCAGAACACAACCCAATTCCAAGTAGGATGCATCACTATAAATTGTATATCCACCTGTCCCACTCGGTAAAGCCAACACAGGTGCAGTAGTAAACCACTTCTTGAGTTTTGTAAAACTTCTTTTGCAGTCCTCGTTTCATTCAAGCTTAATGTTCTTCTTTATGAGATGGGTCAAAGAAACGGCTCGGCTAGAAAATCTTTCCACAAGCCTGCAGTAATAACCTGTCATTCTTTTTTTTG